ATCAGTTATATGGAACCCTAAACATGAGCAACATAAAAATAAAACCAGAGTAAGTAACTTGCCTAACTGCATTAAATAATACATGTTTAGTTGCGATTTCAGAGTACCTACCTAATGATAAATATTATTATAAATTATCTCTGCGTTTATGTTATTCAGGTATAATGTAGCTTAGCGGCTTCTTTCGGGCTATCTTTTATTTAAAAAAAAAACCCCAGCGAAGCGGGCATGGGTCAGCTAGTAGATCCTATAAAGTTTTCTTTTTTTCTTTTGAGGTCGGAACCCTAAAAAGGACAAACTGGGATTATTGTTGCATGTGTAGTTTTTTTCGTTCACTCTGAGAAGAGTGAAGCGCTGTATAAGTATATGACAGCGGCCGCGATTGCCCTAACGTCCATCATCATCTAGCTACCAACGCAGAATGAAACACGCCAACGTGTGAACGGCTCCACCTATACTCTTTGGGCTCCACGAAAATCTGCCGAGCGCGTTCTCCAAGCGCGCTCGGCCAACGTCATATAATGACAAATGAAATTCCCTATATATAATGTACTCTGTGGCCAACGTGTACTGGAGCCATAAAACATTTCACATGACGAATCAGCGTATTGTGAAGAATTTAATTGAAAACAAAACATCAAACTAGGATGTATGATCTACGACCTTGGCTTGCCTCAATCGGCAAATCGTTAATATACTCTTTGATTTGATCGTGACAATGTGACAATGACAACAACAAACGAAATTGGCCTAAAGATCTAAATACCAGGCCATAAACTCGAAAAAAAAAAAACAAACGAAAATCAACGAAAACTCAAAAATAACTTGCTACATATATATTTATCTATGCTCAAAAACGCACTGTATATTGTATATTGTATAATGGTGGCACTTCACATGGCTATTTGTATTTGTGATTGCATGTTGCCGTATTTGGCAAAAAATTCGACGTACGGGCAAATAAGCGATACAACCGTCTACACATGGAGCCAAATACCAAAAAATGAAACATGTTTGCTAGCAGAAAGTAGTTGTACCTACTAAATAGAACTTGCACTTGCAGCTGGATTTTATTATTTGAACGCATGTTACTATTATATTTTTTGCCCCTCGTTTCCAGGGTCCCAAATGCATGGATTCATTTGGTAAAGTTCTATAAACCTTACAACGGTTTCTTTGTCCCAATTCATTTTCTGTAGGTACCTAAATATTCACTTATGAAGAGGTTAGTGTTCGGGTATTGGACGAATCATCATCATCATCATTACAGCCCTTCACAAGTCCACTGCTGAACATAGGCCTCCCCCAAAGAATGCCACAAAGCACGGTCCTGAGCCACCTGCATCCATCGACTTCCTGCATATCTTACCAGGTCGTCACTCCATCTAGTGGGGGGACGCCCTACACTTCGCCTGCCGGTACGAGGCTGCCACTCGAGAACCTTTCTTCCCCATCGGTTGTCGGTTCTTCGAGCTATATGGCCGGCCCATTGCCACTTCAGCTTACTGATCCGTTGGGCTATGTCGGTCACTCTAGTTCTACTGCGGATATCCTCATTTCTGAGTTTATCACGCAGAGAAACTCCGAGCATAGCCCTCTCCATAGCTCGCTGAGCGACCTTGAGCTTCCTCATCCGGCCAGCAGTGAAGGACCACGTCTCAGTTCCGTATGTCATCACTGGCAACACGCACTGGGTGTACAGTCTCGTTTTCAAGTTTTGAGGTATACCTGACGAGAAGATGTGCCGTAATTTCCCGAACGCTGCCCAACCGAGTTGAATCCGTCGATTGACCTCTCGGTCGAAGTTGGACTTACCTAGTCGGACTATTTGTCCTAGGTAAACATACTCGTCAACAACTTCGAGCTTAGTGTTCCCAACAACTACCGGCATAGGTGTGACATGGACATTAAACATGATCTTTGTTTTGTCCATGTTCATCTTAAGACCTATCCGTTGGGAAACACTATTGAGGTCATTGAGCATAGTGCTTAGGTCCTCCAGCGATTCTGCCATAAGGACTATATCGTCGGCAAATCGAAGGTGAGTGATGTACTCGCCATTGATGTTGATACCGTATCCTTTCCAGTCCAGAAGCTTGAAAACATCTTCCAATGCAGCGGTAAAGAGTTTCGGGGATATGACGTCACCCTGTCTTACACCTCTCTGCAATTGGATAGGTTTCGTACTCTGGTTCTGTACTCGGATAGCCATCGTAGCCCTACTGTACAAGCACTTCAACACTTCGATATACCGACAGTCAACTTGGCATCGCTGAAGGGACTGCAGCACCGCCCAAATTTCGACGGAATCAAAGGCTTTCTCATAGTCCACATACGCCAGACATAGTGGCAAATTGTACTCCTCGGACTTCTGTACAATTTGCCGAAGGGTATGTATGTGGTCTATGGTGCTAAAGCCTTTTCGGAAACCGGCTTGTTCGGGAGGCTGGAAGTCGTCAAGTCTGCGCGCGAGACGATTCGTAATGACTCTCGAAAACAGCACGTAGACGCGGCTCAGAAGGGAAATCGGTCTGTAGTTCTTCAAGAGAGCGTTGTCGCCTTTCTTGAAGAACAAGACCACCGCACTTCTGCTCCACGCCTCCGGTGTAATGCCACCATGAAGGACGGAATTAAAGAGCTTCTGAAGGACTTCAAGTACCGGTTTTCCACCCGCTTTCAGAAGCTCCGCTGTAATTCCATCCTCGCCTGGGGCCTTGCCGTTTTTAAGGTGCTGGAGAGCCATTCTAATCTCGCTCAGACTGACGTCCGGGATATCATCGGAATAATGTCGGATAAGACTCGCTCTTGGATCGTTACTCACACTTGCGTGCGGCTCCAACGATGACGTGTACAGCTGCCCATAGAACCTCTCAATCTCACTCAAAATCTCAGGTGCCCCGGAAACGATGCTGCCACATTCTGTCTTCAGCTTTGACAGTTGGCGCTTTCTGGCAGACAGATCTCTGGCAAAGACTTTGGAGCCTTGGTTCCGCTCGATCGCTTCTTCAATACGAGCTGTATTGAATTTGCGTAAGTCCCACCGCATGCATTTGGAGATCTGTCTGTTCAGTTGCCTGTATGCTGTTAAATCTGTTGAAGAATGTAGCTTCATCTCCCGTCTAACAGCCATGAGATTAAGAGTGTGATCGGAGAGTTTTTGTGTTCTTCTGCGGCGGGTCTTGCAGAACTTAGCTCCGACCGCATGGACAGTTTCCACGAGCTTGTCATTCAAATCGTCCACTTCATTGCAGTCTTCTAGGCACTGAAAACGGTTTTGTAACTCGAGCTGAAAGGTTTCGGGACTTTGGATTAGAGCACGAGGGGGACGGAGCGTTGACTTCATTAGACGAGACCTCTCCAACTTAACGTTTAGGTTCAGTGTGCCTCTAACCATTCGGTGATCGCTGCCGGTTTTCACCCTCGCAATCACTGAGACATCACTGAACAGTTGTCGTCTGGTCGTCATAATGAAGTCAATCTCATTTTTTGTCGAACCGTCGGGGCTCGACCAGGTCCACTTCCTGTGGGGCCGCTTCTGGAAGAAAGAGTTCAACATAAAGAGTCCCTCTTTCTCCATGAAGTCGGCCAGCTGCTGGCCCCTTGGGTTCCGTTGCCCTATTCCAAATTTCCCTACTTTCAGCTCACCGTTCTCTCTTGTGCCTAGTTTTGCATTGAAGTCTCCCATTAACACCGTATATTGGGTTTTGGAGGAATGCATGGCTCTAGAGATATCCTCATACATTTCCTCCACCTCCTGATCGGGGTGTGCCGAGGTTGGTGCGTAAACCTGTATGACCTTCAGCGAATACCGTTTGGTGATTCTGAGTATAAGGTACGCAACCCTCGTCGACACACTCTCAATCTTTACAACGTTGTTAACGAGAGACTTGTGGACGATAAATCCGACACCTCCTTGGGACAGATGGTCGCCCTCCCGGTAATAGAGCAAGTTGCCGGATTCGAGGATTACCGTGTCCTCCCCCTCTCTTCGGACTTCGGATAATCCTATAATATGCCAGCGTAACTTGTCTATCTCTTCTTCCAGCTCCACAATCTTCTCGTCAGTCCTCAGGGTGCGTGCGTTGTATGTTGCCAGGTCGAGTCGTCGTAGGTGGCAACCGAACCTCCACCGGAGATTCTTAGCACCCCCTGCCCCGCCGTTACCATGGTCGCCACCGTAGCCAGGAATAGCGGGGCCGCCGGGGACTGGGGGCCGTTTATTATTGTCATTGCTCATGGGGGGTATATTGCCATAGTTGCCACGCTTGGCGAGCGGGTTGGCAACCGCAGTTTTTTTATTGTTATTTGGCTATTATCAGGAAGATGCTGCTGCCCATCTCCTGCCTGTTTCCCTTTGTCGCCTTTTACGACACCCACGGGAAGATATGGGGTAGTGGATATTCTTAACCGCCACTACACGGCAATATTGGACGAATGTTCAATAATAATTTAAATTTTATGTTAAAAATGTTCAATAAACAAGTCGATTAAAATATGTTGAATAATAAATATGTATAAACAGGTCCGTTCGTACTAGTTGACAGTTCGCGCGCTTATGAGCCCGACCATGTGTGGCCAGTATATTTGCGTATTTGCCTATTTGTCTCCTTTGATGAGCCTTGAAAAACCGACAGACGATCGGTAAGCCGTATTTGTTATTGGCTATATTTGCCAAATAGGCAAATACGGCAATAAGAATGGCAAATATACTCTCCACACATGGAAGTTATTTGTCAAATACAGCAAATACGCAAATACAAATAGCCATGTGAAGTGCCACCATAATGTGTATCTCTATTCTCTATGCAAAAACGTATTGAAAAAAATCGAATGTGATATTTGTGTATTGGGTTATTTATGTAATTAATTCTCTTTTTGTATAAGAAGACAATGTTCACATGTTGATAAACATCCTTTTGTTTATTTTTAATGCAATCGTTTTTAAATTTCATTAGGAAGACATTTATTCCAAGTTTTATTTTATAAACATCATTGCAAATATGTCTCTTAGGTTCAAACCTCCCGAATTACATTATTTCAATTGGTTTTACAATGTTTCACCCTGTTTTCCTATTAATAGTACTAAAATCAATATCATAACAGATCCCAGAAAATTTTATGATACTTTGTGTGAAAGATTTAAAAATGCCAGTCGTCGTTTATCTGTAGCTAGTTTGTATATTGGTACAGGAAATTTAGAGAAAAATCTCCTGAATGTGACGAAGCATAATCTTATAGTGAATAAAAGCTTAAAATTTGATGTCTTGTTGGATTATCAACGCGGTACACGTGGTGAAATAAATTCTCGTAATCTTGTGCAAGAATTGGCGAATGTTGCTCCTGACCAATGTAAGCTGGCTTTGTATCAAACCCCACGTTTACAAGGCTTCTTGTCGAAAATTCTGCCCGCCCGTTATAATGAACTTGTAGGCCTTCAACATATGAAGCTGTATATTGCAGATAATTCAGTATTATTGAGTGGAGCCAATTGCTCTAATGACTATTTTCAGAATCGACAAGACAGATACATTGAAATAGAAGATATTGATCTTGCTAACTTTTACTGTGAACTTATAGGTATGATAAATGTGTAAGTTTTTACTTTGCTTTTTTATTTTTAGTTTCATGAGTATCTTTTTTAGTTTATCTAGTTTTCTTATACTTATATTTTTTTTAGATGAAATTACAAAGGTCAGCAAACAAGATGGTTCAGATGCTAATCAAATATATTCTAAGGAAAAATTTATTAAAGAAACAAACGGAAGAATTGTAAGTCTAATTGAGAAGTGGAAGCAAAATCAAATTCTAAAATTGTCATCAACAGAAGGTAATTATGTAATGTGTTATTCTTTATCATATTTACTATTTCTTTATACATCTATGTTTATTCACTATTATGGTAAACATTTTTGTAATCCTTTTATTTTTGATACAATAGTTGAAGTTAGGGCTCACTTAAAAGCCACCTATAATTACTGATGCCTAAATTTCAACATGCCATTACCTCTGAAATAGTTGATTGCAAGTTTTATTTCCTCATTTTCATATGTAAGGAAGACATTCAAACAAGGGAGCAGTGCGTTAGTACTTTCTATGATACGACTTTCCATTGACTCCCATCTAGCTGGGGGTTGATACGTATTTTTACAGAAAAGTTACACTATTATAAGCGCACACACAAAGTTACAATATGCGGAAGCGCATAATTTTTGAGAAAAAAGTTATTGAAAATCAATTATTCTTGCATTGTTTATGTCTAATCCTACAATAAAACTGACGCCATTTTTTATTGTTATTGTCAGTAGGGATGTCGATTCTTTCCGAAAAAGATCGATTTTTTAAATAGATACGAATTGTAAGCTGATGTATCGATTCCAAAATATCGTTTTCTAAAATATCTATATTTTTTTCATGTTTGCATTTATAATGTAAATATAAATCCATTTTATGAGAAAAAAATCCCCTTCATCATAAAATATAGGGGGACTGGTTCAGAAGGATTTCTGTATCTATTTTGAGACTGCTACGTCTCTGGCGCTGCGGGAAGAGCAGCCTCTACGCCTTAGCGTAAGAAATCGTAGGCATTGGACGAGCCGGAGCAGCTGAGGCTGGTCGCCGAAGGTGACCAAGCTCAGCCGAAGCTGCGGAGGTGAGGATTTGTTACAGCAGGCGGAGGCTGCTCCCCCTACGCGCCTCCGGCTCTTTAAAACCACTCTAGGGGTAGGACAGACTCGTACCAGGTGAAGTCGGGGTCAATCAATTCGGTTCTTTGACATAAGTTGAACCTAACCTATTTTATTTGTTATCTGCCCTAATTGGTACTGGTAAAATAAAACAAAATTCAATAAGAGATCATTTATTATGGTATCTTTCTTGTTTTTCATAAAATGGAATTATATTTATATTATAAATGCAAACGTAAAAAAATATAGATATTTTAGAAATCGATTTTTTATGAATCGATACATCAGCGTATGATTTGAATCGATTTAAAAATCGACCCTTTTCGGAAAGAATCGACATCCCTACTGACGACAATGACATTATAAAATGGCGTCAGTTTTATGGTAGGATTAGATATAAATAATGCAAGAATAATTGATTTTCAATAACTTTTTTCTCAAAAGTTACACGTTTCCGCATGTTGTAACTTTGTGTGTGTGCTTATAAATAGTGTAACTTTTCTATAAAAATACGTAGCAACCCCCAACTCGACGAGAGTCAATGGAAAGCTAAGCCCTTTCTATTCCATTGATGGTAATACATTGGTAATTGATTGTAATGGTACATTCAATCAAAACTCCACAGCTAAACATAGGCTTCCCCATAGATTGCATCATAGGAGGGATATTTGCCTTAGTTGCCACACTTAGCAGCTAGCTGGCAACTACAGTTTTTATTTTTTATTTAATAGAAAGTAGGCATGGGTAATATCACTCTTGCTCTATATCAAATCGTACGTATTGCGTTTGTAAATTGGATATTGTATATATGTACAGTTAAACCTGCATAACTGGAATCTTAAGGGACCAGCAAATTTATCTCACTTAAAGAGGTATTCCACTTACCCAGTGTCTTCTGAGACACTGGGTAAGTGGAATTTATACCTGGATATCTGTATCCAGGTATAAATAAACCGATTATTATATAAAATAACATACATTTTCTAATTAACATCCGGACGATAGCAAAACCAAACTAAAACTGAAGGTCACTTTTACACAATTAACCAAGTGCAGATTTGTGGATTTTTTCTGTTATTGTCTTTGTAATATTATGTGCGTTAAGTATAGCTATATCAATAATGTAGGTGATTTTATTAAGTTATCTTGTAGTGTCATGTCTGGTCTATTATAATGTACTATTTTGTCAGTTAGGATGGTGCGGTCGTAGTACAACTAGTGTGTTGTATTTTCTAAAATTCTATTTGGGATGTATTTATAATAAGGTATAATAGTGTCTTGTATGAGGTTATGTTGAATAACAACAGTTTGATGTATGATATTAGCTACCTGGTTATGTCTATGAGTGTAATCTTTTTGGGCGAGATGTGGGCATGCTCCAGTTATATGCTGAATGTTTTCAGAATGTATGTGACACTTTCGACACTTATCATCTAATATAGTGGGTTCTTTAATGATATATTTCCTGTAATTACAAGTATTTATAACTTGTTCTTGAATTGCAATAATAAAACCTTCGGTTTCAGAGAATTAAGAACCTATTTTTTGACAACCATTTTTTTATCAATCAAGGGTTGTTCCAGATCATGATAGGGTCGGTCGTGCAGCACTTTTTGTTTCCATGCTTCTATTAAAATTTGCTCTGGGTCTGTAACTAAGTTATGGAGTCTTTGTGTAGTAGTTTGATGTAAGTTTAGTGATGTGTAATTAAGGTCATTACATTGTATTGCTTTCTGTATGTCACTTGTATTAGATTTCTGATAAAAGAAATTTTGTAATCTGTGTACTCGATTTTGCCATAAGTTTTGTACATTTATGAGTCGTCTGCCTCCGTTGTATCTCTTTATAGTTAATCTTTCTATAGCCAATTTCGGGTGGTGGTGATTGTGTTTTGTTAATATTATAATAATAATAATAATAATTCTTTTATTGTCAAAAATAAATCAAGAAATTTTATAAAGTCTCTGACTCCTAAACTAGACGAGTCTGTATCTTAGGAATCAGCGGCCTCTCCCAGAGTTGTACTAAAAGAACGGGTAATACTAAAAGAACTATGCATGTTTTCATTGTTGAAACAAAAGAAAAGTAAACAACTTTACAAATTTAACAAATTTACAAAATTAAATCAAAAAATAATAAAAGTTGTAATATAATAAAGTATTCTATATGTGTTATATTTAATACTAAACATCTATACTATACATATATTTAATATATATATATATATATATACAAGACGAGCACACACATATATATGTGTATATATACTTATATAATTATCAAATATATATATATATATATATATACATATATAATTATTAAAGTTCATATATAAATTATGCATAAACATAAACGAAACGTTAATATTAATTGTCCACACATTAATCACTTCCCTGTTTTTGTTTATTTATTTATTTTGAAACTATAAATTAAATTAATAAATTAAATTAAATCAAATTAAATTAATAAATTTTCTGTTTTATTGTAATCTAATGATTACAATAAAACAGAAAATTTATTAATTAAAATTGTGGCTCTCTCTATAGAATGAATATTAGTTTTGCTCCATTTTACTATATATAATGCATGACTTAAGTTAATTCACAATATGTTTCTATAGAATTGAAGCCATTTGCTTTAATATAAATTTATCTTGGCTTTTGCAAAATAAGAAATATCTTGTAAATTGAAAATTATTTTTGGAAACATTAACTTTTGGAGCGACAGTGACATAACTGCAAATTTGTAAAATTTACACTACGCCAGTTTTAAGACATTTTTGTAACACCATTGAAGATTCCTTACTTTTCTTACAGTTACTGACTCTTTATCTATTTTATTATTGTAGTTTGAACTCTGGGCTTGAAAACAGACACATTTATTTTTATATTCTTATCCAAAATAATGAGAAATAAATAAAAAACATTTTAACACTTACAGTTACCGCTGTTACCCTAGGCAAAGAAAGCTCGGGTATTTATGACCTTTGTTGCCTCTTATAAAATAAAACCAATATCGTTCCAATCAACACATTTTGTATTATTTCAATAAAAATTAACAACGGCAGTCAGTGGTGACATAGTATGAATCATTTGTAGATGACCTTCATCTTAATTACACTTTAATAGGAACTATTCAATACGAAATTAAACAATATAGTAGGTATATAAAATTAGTTTTTTAACCCTCTTAATAACTGCTATCTAATATGGCACAGAAAAATCAGCTGTTTATAAGAATATTCTTAAAATCTAAAACCCTACACATTTAAAAAGTTATTCTTAAAAATCAGTCTTAAAAGATCAGTAGAATGTTAGAACTATTTTTAAACATTTCAGTCTTACGTTCGTTTCATTAGACATACTACTTACATAAAAAATTAAAACTTAATAAAAACAATAAAAAAATTGTACCTACTCAGGTTACTTAAAACAAACTCTCGTAAAATCCGGAATAGCACCTGGGAACAATGTTTTTTCTAACAAAGTACGCAAATCCTGCTTTTTTGATCACAAATTGTAAGTTTTGAATTGTAAGCTGCTCTCAAACGTATTTCAGTAATATTTAAATTATTATCGGACCGATTTTTTCGAGTACTTCTTCTTCTTCTTTCTTAGTTTTATGGCCCCTCTTTTTAGAATTCTGCCAATGTCAAGTCAGTCATGGGAGTGACAAGAGAGTGTTTACAATAGTTACAAGTTATTATTGTTTGTGTAGGTCTTCACAATCTACAACAAAAGACGCCACAAGTTTATAACCATCACCATGTTAGTAATCTTACAACTTAATTTTATTAGTTCTAATATAATCACACAAAATATTTACAAAGGGAGTAAACACAAGGGACAGTAAGTATGAGAAATTAGTAGGACGAGGGATGTAGTTAGGGAGTATATCATAAAAGGAGAAGGAGACCTTGGGGCAATCAAAAAACAGGTGGTTAACTGTTCCTTCGCCTAACCCACATTCACAGATTGACGTATCCCTAATCCTTAATTTAGCTAGGTGTACAGGTGTGCAGGTGTGACCGAATCGGAGACGGCAAACAGTTGAGGTAATCACTTTACTAAAGTGACGGGTTTTAAAGAACCAAGGTTTTAGGGGGATATTATTTTGGACATTAGCATAATTTTTACATTTTATA